TTTTACCCCAAATATTGTCAAAAAGAGACCAAAAAAAGAGAAAAATGGGTAATTTAGCCTCACCGGTCAACCCAACGCGCCCGTTTCTGGACTTTAATCTGCAGTAACTCAACAGGAATGGTTAGATTTCATTCATCATCTGAAATATTGCACTAATTTCTTTTAACTCAACTGTATTATTATGATTTAATGCAACAAATAAACAATAGCAAGACGACCAAACTGTTTTTTGCGGCCTTGAAGCTTCGTATTTAAGCTTCAGAATCAACCCTTTGTTTGTGGTTTAAACTAATTCTTTCACAATTAAAAACTTTGTGAGAGCAACACAAAGCGCCGACCTTTCCAAATCCCTCTGAAACCGTCCAGAATAATAATTTCAAATTATGTTAAGCTTCTCAACCATCCTGAGGGAGCTCCCCGATAATAACCTAAACCCAATTATTCATCTGCTCAAGGATGACGTCCACAGAGAGAATAAAACAAGACAAAAAAAACACAATAAACACGTCCAGTAAACTCAGTAACAGGCGTCTGAGTGATGACAAATCAGTAAAAGCCGACAGGAAAAAGGAAAAGCTCAAAATCGTCACACAGGCCGGAGCTATAAGCCGACAGAGGAGCTCTTTAGCTCGTCTGTATGCTAATCAGACGCTATCAAAAGGAGCCATTTTGTATCATCATAACACCCCATGATCTGGAGTAATGAGGCAGGACAGAGGAAGAGGATCTCCACTCAGGAGCAGGAAAAAGGGAAGGCCGTCCCATTCTGCTAGTGGGAGCCATCTTGCACTTTTACTTTGAGTAGTGCTAATTCTGTTGATTTGTTTGTTTATTATGAATTCGTTTACATTAGTGATAGTTTCGTATTTTGGTAATATTCTGTTTGTAATTGTTTTGCTTTATGTTTGGTCTTTATTTGGTACATTTATTAACTCATTGACTGCCAGCCATTTTCACAACAGAGAGTCGCTCACTGCTCACTGAGTTTTTTGAGCATTTTGACTGATTTTTCAAGAGCCACAGAATAGTTTGTGCTATGACTATGTAAGCACCGAACACACCAAAAGAAAGAGTAGACTCTCTTCTATCATCAGGGATAATTTTTTTGTTTCTACCTTATTCCGTTCTTCTTCGACGTGCGTCTCACCGGCGCCATTTCTCTCATAGCGAACCATTGCGTTTGTTTTTATTTGCCTACAGTCTATGCTCATCTCCCATCAAAAGTGGCACTGCCCCCTAGAGGGTCAATTTGTTACTACATACTCTGTCTAGAAGCCTGATATTTACGGACAAGCTTTAGCAGATCGTCCCCCAAGCCACTCGCGTTGAAAAACATAAAAGAAGTCTATAGACGTCTTTGGCACCGAATGAGTTAATTGTAGTATTTGGTTTTAGACACCTGGGGGTAGTGGTGCGCACAGGTAAGGGTGGATTTAAGTGAGTAATGGCACACACCTGTATGCACCTGGGTAGTGGACACATGGTTTTTTACCAGCGTAAGAGATCGTTTGCTCACCTGAAACAGCAATAAACCAGCCTAAAGGACAATTCTGCGTGGAACCATTTTCTTGCCTGCGTACGATACCTGCGCAGGGTGCCAGAAGTTGCCGTTTGTTTTATTTTAAGTTTAATTTAATTTTCGTTAAAAGTTTGTTTGACAAACGGCTACTACCGTACACCGCTCATCAAAGCCAAAACTCTGGTTTGAGCTCTAATATGAGGCGGTTTTCCAGAGCTGGGCCCTTTTCTTTGGTCCCGTTTCTCCCTCTGGAGTGAACTCCGCCTGATTCGGATCATTGATCGGGGCTCATAACGTCCCCTGCTGCTCCACTGATAAACTGATAGCTATCAGGATTATCGACGTATCGATTAAGGCCCGGTCTCCCAGAGTCAGTCTGAGGCTGATGGAGGCTGTGGGCAGAGATAAGAGCTTTCTGGGGGGATTCCCTGACTATTTGCACGGTCGTCTTCCTGGGATCCAGACTCCAGATCCAGTTTTTTTTAACCCTATAATGCCAAATGTGTCATATTTGATTCATACGGTTTCTGAAGTCTTTTGGATCTGAGACTTTTTGCATCATTCAGTGGTAAAAGCTTTGCTCAAACCCCTGTTGTACACATTCAGATATACCTGATAACAGCCAGTAGAAGACTACACCAAAATAGATTTTTGACTTATTGTACGAAAATAATTTCTGTTTTTTTTCTTCATATGTTGTTGAGGGGCCAAAGAAAGACTTCAGACAAAAAAAAATCCAATACTCTTCCGACTTTTCTTGGATCAGGCTTTAAAGGGTTAAAAGTCCAATCCCACACGAGCATTAGCATTAGCATCTGTAACCCACAGGTCTGTGTCCTAACCATTAAGTTGTTATCAGAGTAAATCCCTGTTCAACATGAGTCTGACAACTAAGTAAGTAGAATAAATAACTTTAAACTTTAACACATGCTCTGATAGGCCGGGATCAGATCGGAAGAGCTAAAAACTGGATCCGGACATCC